ACTTCTTCGCATGGCTTTTTTAAGCGCGTTTTCTTTTTTTACCCCTGCTGTTTTGGTGCTACTGACTGGCGCTGTGAATTACAATAGGCACATAAACACATACACAAGTGATTTTCAGGACACACTATAAGGATATGTGATGCATTCTTGATGTATTTCAGCTAATTTTATATAATTTTAAAAATATAAAATTAAAGCGACATTCGTTGGATTTTAATGTTTGTGTGTGGAGATGTCTGCACCTGTTAGTAATGGATACATCTGAAATACATTTACATTTTTTTCACTTAGCAGACACTTTTATTCACAGTGACATACAAATAAAGAATGCTACGACAAAAGCGCTTCATCCTAGTGGTAAAAGACACTGGGAAATACTGCAAAGAAAACTTTTAGATTTCACATTCCACATTGACAAGCGCTTATGTGAGGGGGTTAAAGCCCCGGAAAACACCAAGCCGACGCCAACGAACTAGCGCTGATTAAAGCAGACTTTGTTGTCGCCTCTCGTCCGTTCTCGTCGAGGTAAAAAGCTGCACTTGAACACACAGAGAGAACTGCAGCCGACTGTCAGCGTTCTGCGCCTGCGTTTAATGAGCCAACTGTCTATTTCTGCAGATATATTAGTCTATATTCGTCATTCAAAAAGTTATATGACGTCTTGGGACGTCTTTTGACCATACGTCAACATCCGCCTTTTTAGGGTCCCCTTAAACGTCGGTTAGATGACGTTATCGGATCCTAACCCAACCCCAGACTTAGAAACCTACCCCTAAACCAACCTACCCCGTCACCTAAAGGTAAAGCGTCAGTTGTATGACGGCCCGGGATCGTCAACTAATCGACGTTAAAGGGTACCCTAAAAAGGCAGATGTTGACGTATGGTCAAAAGACGTCCCAAGACGTTAGTTATTTGACGACTTGGGATGAGACTGTGTTAGGAAAATCGACGCTGCCGGCTGCAGATACACATAACGTAAACAAAGCAGTGTGTGCTTACCGTTTTGAATATCAATCCTGCTAAACACTTTTTTTATTCCACTCTGCTCATGTTAATATTGAAATATTCGCCAAGGAACACTCAGGTTAGAAGACGTAACATAAGAACAGGCCTATATCTTTACCGTTTTGATTTCTTTGCTTGCTGTTTTGCTTTTACTCTCGTGCACTGACTTTTTCACTAAGCTGAACAGCCAATCAGAGTTCTCAGTTTTCCCAACGGCCCGACGCCGATTCAACATGTCGAATCGGGCGAAACAAAGCTGACAAGGACTATTTTCAGCCAACGGCACGGAACTGTGCGTATCACGAGGAAACTTAGTTTGCCGACACACAAAATCTGCCAGACGGCCGACCGTCGGCTTGGTGTGTTCCGGGCTTAAGAGTTACCTCACACATAACTTCTGGAGAAAAATTGTGTTTGTGCAAATTGAGTACACTTTTTTCTTTTACTGTAGCATACACTAAGTAAAGAGTAAACTAATATCAAGTGTTTTTTTTTACACAGCTAGTACTAATGTAACAGGTCCTACTCAAACTGCTCCGAGCGGGATTTGATCCGTGGTCTCTGGTGTGGGAAGCGGGCGCGCTAAAAAACTTGCTAAAGCCCAGAGGAGGTTTACACGCACCGCTCTTACTGGCCTACGTCCATTACACTCACTCCCGGTCCCGGCCATCCGGGTCACGGCACCAAATTTAACGTCCTACTCAACCCACTCCAAGCAGGATTCGAACTACAGTCTCCGGCATGGGAAGTGGGTGCACTAACAAGGACACTTATGACTATAGCTGCTAACATCAGTCGCTAGGATGCCTCTTGAGGCCAGGGGAGTGAGGTTTGCAACTACATGTCAACTAACTCTCAGTAGATTATTAGTAGACTGTTGGGTTTGGGTTAGAATAAATTTTACGTGTACACATACATTTATTCTACTAACCCTAACCTAACAGTCTACTAATAAGTTAGTTGACATGTAGTTGCAAAGTTACCTATAGTCAGTAGAATGTCTAAAGTGGACCATTTTGACCCAATTTTTCCTCTCCTCTAATTTTTCCCCCTCTCCATAGATATGACATTTGACATGGCGCGAAAAAATATCCTTTTAAAGTCATTTGGTGGCCTTTAACGCCTTTAAAACCAGCAGCTTTCAGAGTAGCTCAACCAGGGGTGTGTTCCCCATATTTGCTGATTAACTATCACAGAAGCATTGTTGGAGAAACTAACAAAATAGTCTCCCGTAAACAGGCGGTTCATTCACTCAGCAGCTTTTTCCACAACGTTATTTCTCTGGGATGCTGCTGTATAGCGAAACATGGCACCTGAAGACTACTTCACTGTTTTTAGTTTCTTCCTGTTTTAATTGAGGATTGATTAATCTTGGGTTCCCTAGTATATCTTTCTCCAGAGTCCCTTTTGCACATGCACTCTCATTAAAAAACAGCGCTGATTGTTGACATGCTAAAAGATATGGATTTAAATTTGTATATATATAACACTGCATGTTGTCTTGCTTCTTTTGCCCAAGAGCAAGATCTTTCAGTACATATCCACGTCATCTTAACAAGAAACTATGCTTTTAATCACGGGTCGAGAGCTGTAGAACCACCCACACAAGTTTGCAAATGTTCATTTGAACTATGGTATCAAGAAATGCTGAATTGTTGAACTATGTACTTAATAAAGACTGAACTTGCAACCATATTTGCCTAACAATGCTTTTTGGAAACGCACCCCAGGCTGAATGACCAGCAAGCAGTTTAGCACATTTCTCCCTGCTGGGGGTCCAGCTAAAATACATTATCATTCTAGAAGAAATGCTGAAGTGCTTCTTTGATTTAAAATACAGTACCTCAATTGCCACAACCACTACAGTATGTTGGTAGTTTCTCCCATTTATTTTTCAGCGGGAGGCATTCCTTATGCTATCCGGCAGTATGGAGACTTGCACAAAAGAGTGGTGGTACAAGGTTAGACTTCAAAAGGAGATTCAGTACTATGCGCAGTCACATTTTCTTGACAGGATGGCAGTGCTCTGTTGTCTGGGATAGACAGTACATGAAATCCTCTGCTGATGTGTTTACCTCTTTGCCCACGTCAGTACTAAGCAATCCAGTTAATTTGATTTTAGTCTTAACTAAGGAGTAGTATGGAATAACACCTTCCTGCGGTGCTCTAGATTCTCCACTCCTGACCTAAAAACCTCGGCTCATTCATTCTCAGCACCTTAATATAAATGTTAGGAGCTTTATCATCTGCTTCACCCACAGCAGGCATATGTTATCATTTACTGCTCGTTAGCTTACTGATCACTCGCACCCAAGGTAAGGAAAGTAGTAATATATTTGTTAGCAAAGTTAGCCATTTATCAAACTCTTAGACATCGCCATGGATAAATCAACTTTTTAAATTGTCTTGCTCTGGGCGTATGGTTGCATCTGAGGTTTGTGAATTTGTAAACATTAGCATAATTGAAATTGTTTCGATATGTGAATAAATGTTGGATGGGATTTGACTGGATTGTGAAAGGGTGCCAAAATTGAGTGATACGTGATCCTGAGGTTACATTAACTAGCAATAATTAGCTTTGCTGCGTTAGCTACGTAGCTACATTAGCATCTGAACAAATCCCTAACCCAAATTTGGTGCACAACTCATCCCTCACAAGTGCTACGGAATGATATATCAAATTGTGTGGTTTGAAGGAGGATCCTGGTTCGGTCCTAGAAACAAGGGGCTAAGTTTTTTTTGTTGTTTTTTTTTTTTTTTTTTTTAGTATTATAGGGATAACATTTTAATTGGTAGGTGTCCATTAAAATGTACATTTTTATTAAGAAGGGCACTTTATACAAAAATACAAGATTACAAGTCCAGTCCAGACATTTTGAGACTCCCATTTATTTGGGCTTGCTCGGATTATTTGAACATAAGAAACTCTCTCCTCCTCCATAGCTGAACACAAATCATTATGTACTGTAAGGTTGATATGCCCTTTCAAGCACATTATGGAGTTTGGGATGAAACATTAAAGAATCAAACTCTCCACATCTACACAATGAAAGATATTTTTTTTCTTGACAAAAGGAAAAAAGATCTTGGATGCCATGTCGGTCACAACCCCATACACTGGTTATTTGGCTTTAGGGTCTCCTTTCTCGTTTGCCTTTTTTTGTTTCTGCTGCATGATTTCAGCATCTCTTTGCTTACGAGCAGCTGCTGAGAGGCCATCTTCATTTCACTTCCCCTTGGTATTATCAGTTTGCTTCTTAGCATTCTTTAGACGGGCAAGCTCACGCTGATTTCCCCTCGTCATGATCGCTCTTTTGTTGTCGCCGGAGCGCAAAGCTCAACCAGGCGTTACCTCTTGTACTTGTGTGATGGCTGGCGGACCCGAGTCCAACAAGGGGCTAAGTTAATGAAATAATTAAAGGGTTAGTTTTCCCAAAAATCAAAAATTCCCAAAATTCTGTCAGTATTTACTCACCCTCATGTTGTTCTAACCCTGTAAGACCTTCGTTCATCTTCGGAACACGAATTTTCGATTAAATCTGAGAGCTAGATCGCTCCTGCATACTAGTCCATAGGCTTCTTGAGGGATTGAAACTTGCCGTCCTTAAAAAGTTATTAAAGACTTCTTTAAAATAGTCCAAGTGACTTCAGGGGCTCAATCTTAACTTTATCAAGCGACGAGAATACTTTTTGTGCGCAAAAACAAACAAAAATAACAACTTTATTTCAACTATTCACGAAGGTCTTACAGGGTTGGAACAACATTAGGGTGAGTAAATACTGAGAGAATTTTCATTTTTGGGTGAACTATCCCTTTAACTCAGATAACAAAATGAATTCAAAGTAGTAAATAATTTTGATATTAATTTATTTTGTTACATTAAAAATAAGAAAATATGGTTTTGCGTTTCATTAGAGATTGTCGCCTATAGGGCGGCGCACTTTTATTGCCGTATTGTAACTTTGACATCACCCTTTTCTTTTCTCACTCTAGATGTACATTCAGACAGCCACACTGACCGTCTCTCTGAGCCTGAGTGCGTCTGTGTCTCTGGGGATGCTTTACATGCCCAAAGTGTACATCATTATCCTGCACCCGGAGCAGAACGTGCCCAAACGCAAGCGCAGCTTCAAGGCCATCGTCACCGCTGCCACCATGACAAACAAGCTGAGCCAGCTGGCCAGTGACCGGCCCAATGGAGAGGTGAAAACCGAACTCTGTGAGAGTGTGGACAATAGTAGTGAGTACAGTCTTTTTTAACATGCACACTTTGTTATAATGATAATGTGGAACATGGGTCAATGACATGGGTCAATTTTAAAAATACATAAAAAATGCAAATCATGCACTGTAAAAAATGATCAGTTGACTTAACTTAAAAAAAGTATTAAAGTCCACACATAATTTAAATTTCGCATAACTTATTTTTTTCGATTACACTACAGTTTATTTACTTAATTTTAAGGCAATGGGTTTCCTCACTTTTAATACAACTGATAACTTTTTTTCAGTGTGTCTTTAGTTTGTGTATTGAAATGTATTTAGATATTTTGGGGGGCATAAATTATAAAGAAAAAACCGAGATATACAATATAATATTTTATTTTCCCTTTTGACAACAATGTTTGAAGGCCCAACACTCCTAGTTTCTGTAAATGAAGTTTTATTGGTATTATTTAAGTTTTTAATTCTTTTAAGCAATGGATTTATGGGACTTTTTCTTAAACAATTTTCACTTATAATTTTTACCAGATTAGGATTGGTTTTTTCACGTGCTGCACAAATATTTATTGATTAATAATTCGTCATTTCAATATATTTTTGACAAATAAAGAGTGCATTAAAAAATGCATTAAAAATGTATTCAATGTGTGTAAGGGAAATAGTATTACTTTTTACTTTGTGGTTGCACCACATGACATTTTTAGGGTCCTTTAAACAATTATTGTTAATAAATAAAACCAACATGAATAAAGAGAATACAACTTGACACATTATTTTTTAAAACTAGATTTAAATAAAAATCTCTTTATTAATGTCATTGACCCACATACATTACATTCATATATTTAACAAAGTAAATCTACAGTATAATTGTCACTATTCCTTTAATAGTGTGAATGACCTGTGTGCTAATGAACTGTTAACTTCGTTGCTGCTAAAATGTTCACATTGGTTACTCCCGTTGGCATTTATCTTGTCATCTGAAGCTTTTTATTATGAGGAAATGAAACAGATAAGTGCATTCACTAGAGGATCATTGCTAATTCATTAGCTATGCTGCATGCATTGTCTGACGCTAACACTAGATCTCTTATAAAAATCTGACTGCAAGCTCACGGAAACAGCCTGTACTTCAGCAGCCAGTGTGGTGTTACTGTACCTTTTACATGAAGGATCCGATCATTAACCAGGGCAAGGGCAGCACACACGGGCCCACATCATGTGCAGACAGACCCTCACTAATGTGCCATGACCCCTCGGCTAAAGGGCTCTAACACTGGGCCAGTTCATAATGAGAGTCAAATGTACCATGTAATGAATGTAGAGACTACCATTTAGAGGACAAACACGTTTTGGTGTTTCTCACTGCAGTTTTACTATGTCCGATTTTGTAAACAACATTCAAGTATGCTAATCGGTGTTGTTGTGAGTCAGTTTTGTACAGGTATTAGTCATTAGTAGTAATATGGGCCCATAATTGAAGTGTAAAAGTGCGGTCACATTAGCTAGTATGAACTATGAAGCACCGTTCGCACAGAAGGTGCTTTTCCCTATTAATTCTATGGTGGTTATGACCCTGAATGTGACTGAATATTGAGAAATGAAGGTTGAAAATTCTGACATTACTAAATGACCCTGATGTCATTCTAACACAAAAGAGATTTTGTTGCTTTTTTGTGCAGTTTCAAGATTTCAAGCTTCAAATATGGTATAAAAGCACCATAAAAGAGCTTCATATGACTAGTATAGTCAAATCCTCTATAGACACAACAAGACTGAAATTCAAGTCGTTTTCCACTGAAAATCTTCTTTGGGAAACACTGCTGTGCCGGATCAATACAAATGAATCATTCCAACCAAAAGAATGATTTGTCTTCAAAGTTTCAGTCTGTTTGTCATAAAGCTATCAAAAGACTTAGAATATGGGCAATTTCTATGATTTTTTTGCTGCTTTTTTATCATTTTAGAGCCTGACGGTCCCAGTTCTCATTCACTTTCATGACATTGAGTGGCCAAAATTCACCTTTTGAAAAGAGAAACTCGAACGGGTTTCATGAAGGTTGAGTGATGCATATTTTCTGTTTGAGTGAATAATGTCTGAAATTAGGGTTCGTTTCGATTTTAATTTAATTTTGAAGCATGCCATGAATTCTTTTTTGAATGACTTTTCACAACTCAAAACCTTTTCTGCAAAAAGGGCACAAGGTAAAAGCATCACAAAAGAGTGTTATTACTTTCTCAATTGTTTTCTTCCTACTTTTAAATGAAAGGAAGCAGCGAAATCATTTTCAATGAAACAAAGTGAGAATTTTATCCTCATGGTTGCAGAGCTACGTTCAGAATCTAGAAGTTCCCCAACTTACTCTACTATTCTCCCATCTCTTTATGTGACATTTGTGTCTTCTGATACACAGCAGTCTTCTTTAACTGACCATTTTCATTTCCAGCACCGTCCACAAAAACAACCTACGTCAGCTACACCAATCATGCCATATGACTGCACATCCTGAAAATGGGTTGGCATGGATCCGGCAGGCTCCAACAAAACAGGATCCAATGACTGAAACCCAAGCATGAGACATCAGTGTTGTTTGTGGACAAGAGGATGGACTCTTGGATTTTTTTTCCCTGGATATTTTATAAGAAAGCCTAGGCGGACATCCAAAAAATGGAGACAAAAGCTGCCATTTACGTGGGCAGCTAATAAAACGAGACACTGGCAAAGGGGTAAGAAAAAAAATACATAAAGTTTAAAGAAACAGAACAAATATTGGAGTCGACCATGTTACATGTTATTCTAATTGTAAGTATTTTGTGGTTGTGAAAAATTTTTCATTCTTTGTCCCACAGTGTCAGACCTGCATTTGGAAAAAAATGCGTTTGTCTCTTGTATTGGCTACTCTGGTCTATAACCTTGGGTTGTGAGTGTGCAAATGCCATGTTGGAAGCATGCCAATTCAACTTTTTATACAAATAATTTATTTATAATAAAGGAATGTTTTTGAAATGTGGTGGGTGTTTGGACATTTATGTTTTTGGGGATGAAACTATGTAATACGTAATTCACAGTAGGGCTTCAACTAACAATTATTTTCATTATCGATTAATCCGTTGATTATCTGTGATTTCATTTTTTTAATAATAAAGTTGTCCAACAACTAATATTTTATCAAAATGAATATTTTAGTCAACGTTATTGTGCTTCAGTAACCAATATGTTGTGGATTCTTCTTCTTTTGTTTTATAATAGTATTTCATTGACATCAGAGACATCAAACAAATGCCTCTAAAATCGTGTTTGGATATGCGCATTTTTTTAAATCCGGCACATCTTGTCGTAATTCATCGGTTCTCATGTCTAACAGTGCTTTTTTTGGACTAATTCTCACATAGTATAACTTGTGTTTCACAGTATTTATTATTATTTTAGCTATATATTCCCTGGTCACTTTATGCTTAAATTGTATGGAAAAGAGCAGCATGGACATTCTGTGAAATATGTTTTTTTTATGTTCTACGGTAAAAAGAAAGACATAAGAGTTTGGAACAACAAGAGGGTGAGTAAATGATACGTTTTTTTTTGTTGGGTTTTTTTGTGAATTAGTCATACTTTTTGCAAAACTAAGCGTCTAATAGTGCTGAAGAATGTGTGTCATGCATGTATTTTCTGTTCAGGTGAGTCTAGACATTTCCAGGTGAGTCTAGCATATAAAAATGCCAAGCTGGCAAGTTGGTATAATTTATGAGCTGAATCTGAGCAGGTGTACTGCGTTCCAAATATAGAAAGCATTCATTATCTTTCCATGGCAATACAATGTCATTTATTCCCGTGCATATAGCTTTCCTTAAATCATAACGGAGCTTCAAAATTGTCCAACGTTTAAAAAGCCTTACTGTCTGTCCACATATTTAAACTTCTCTCAAAATGACCTCTGACATCCACTACGCCTTCCTTTACCTGACCTTAATATATTTCCAAGCATAAATGCAACTCATTTACACACTTACCTCTCAGCAGTTTTTACAAAGGATGTTTCGGATCCAGTCGGATGCCGTTAATTGGCTCTCTGACTGACAGAAGATTCCTGCAACTAAACTACTTCCTTGTAACTAGGTCTACCAAACCCAATTATCTCTCCTTAGAGCCTTTTCTCACTAATTACTGCCTCTCAGTTGCTATTTAAGACTCATGAGATATGAAAAAAAAGCATTGATAACAAAAATAAACAGGCCGTTAAATATTTCTGGCACTTCAGATGTTTCTGCAGTGCACAGCTTGGCGGATGGCATCCTTCTCTTTGACAAACACACTGCGAATGGCTGGAGTACAAGAAAATAATGGAGAAAATTGACCACGTGTTGTTGGTGATCAATATTTACTGTGGAGGAAGACGGCGACAGACAACTTACACCTGTGAGACGAACATCAATACAGCAATAATAATGGCAACTTAAATCGTTTGTGGAGACTTTGAACAGCATTCGGAGCATTTAACAGCTTTTATTCACTACAGTGTTGCGAATAAAAATCCACTGGTATCACTTTATCATGCCTCAGGACATTGCTTAGATGTTTTATTTCAAGACGTTTTTCAGGTTTTTGTTCTTAAAACGCTCTGTGTTGGACTGATTTCTTACAAAGCCTCCATTGGTAATTCCAAAATGTTATTTTAGAGCTATAGTAACAGAGGCTTGCGCCAATGATATGCAGAGTAATGCAGTTATTGGAGAGAGATTGATAGATTGCTTAAGTGTGTGTGAATTACTTGAGTCTGTTCCTCTCTCAACAGTGTTCGGCAACTAATAGCGAGGCTGTAAGTTTAACTGCTTCAATAACAGCGATGTTACTGTCTCAAAGCTTAGAAATGTCATGTAGTTTTGCAGATGCTGAACTATTTTGTTGAAATTGGGTAACGCTGACAACATGTTTCTGTGCGCGTGCATGCGAACTGTACGTGTGTGCATTGTACGGGAGAGATAGAATGATTTCCATTGGTTATTAAACGTGATTTCTAAGCATTTTTCTTTAAAGGATTAGTTCACTTTTGAAAAAACTTTTGCTGATAATTTACTCACCCCCATGTCATCCAAGATGTCCATGTCTTTCTTTCCTCGGTCGAAAAGAAATTAAGGTTTTTGATGAAAACATTCCAGGATTTTTCTCCTTATAATGGACTTCCATGGGAACCAGGTCCAACCGAGGTCCAAACGACAGTTATAACAGTTACAGTGCAGCTTCAAATGTCTTTAAACGACACCAGACGATGAATAAGGGTCTTATCATGCGAAACGATCGGTTATTTCAAAACTTATTCCAAAAATGTAACTTTTCTAAGGACAAATGCTAGCCTTTCTCCATTCTGTGAGGCGCGTTTGCAACGTCACGTACAGTAATACGTAATTACGTTCAAAAGGTCACGGGCGACGTAGCCAGAAGTACAGAGTCAGAGTGTTTACAAGTTGAACGCATAGGTTGAACGTGGAAACTAACTCAAACGCCGTTTACAAAAAAGGAATTAAAAGGTAAAACAACGATGTCGGACGATTTTGATTCTGTACTTCCGGCTACGTCGCCCGTGAGCTTTTGAACGTAATTACGTATTACGTGATGTTGGCTAGCATTACAAGGCTAGCATTTGTCCTTAGAAAAGTTACATTTTTGGAATAAGCTTTGAAATAACCGATCGTTTCGCATGATAAGACCCTTTCATCGTTTGGTGTCGTTTAAAAACATTTGAAGCTGCATCTGTAACTGTTATAACTGTCGTTTGGACCTCGGTTGGACCTGGTTCCCATGGAAGTCCATTATAAGGAGAAAAATCCTGGAATGTTTTCATCAAAAACCTTAATTTCTTTTCGACTGAGGAAAGAAAGACATGGACATCTTGGATGACATGGGGGTGAGTAAATTATCAGCAAAAGTTTTTTCAAAAGTGAACTAATCCTTTAAGTATTACACTGTTATTATATTATTAGTTGCGTTTAATTATTTGCCTAGTAAATTATTTTGCTGCCTGCGACCCTATAAGAACAGAACTGCTGTCCCATATTTCCTTCCCTCTCTCTCTTTCTTTTTTTCTCTCTCTCTTTCCTTCCTTCCTTCCCTCCCACCCTCTCTTTCCTTCCTTTTCTTAGTCACAACTCACCATGTTGAGAACAACTGCAATGGTAAGTGTCACTATAATTTTTTATGACAAGGCTTGTTCACACCAGACACGAGAGCTATAATGATAACTATAATTGTTTTGATAATCATTCAAGTCCACAGACACTACAACTATAATGATAACACAGAGGAACAATATAGTTGAAATCACTCTCAGGGGGATTTTTCCAGCTGATGAATGATGAAAAATTGACAGCGAATTAACCCAAATTTAAAGAGCTTGAGCGTTTAAAGCAGCAATTGTTCATGATTACAATAAACCTAACATTATCATTTGTTGGTTTGGACGCTAATAATCGTATGTAGGGAAGAATGATGAGTCTCGTTATGTCTACACTAGATTTAGGGCTGCATTAGAGAATGCTGATTTCAGTGGGGAATGTGTCTTATGGGACTTAGAGGAAAAATTAAAAAGAGCAAAAAACAGAAGCCCTGCCCTAATCTCATCATTAGAAATGTAATATGCTGTTATAAAGTCAGTTTTTTTTTAACTATGCCAGCCCTAATTGATTCAAATACGATGCGGGAGGCTAATTGATCAACGGATCAGATTCTTTCAAGCCTGAGAGCCAAGCATGAGGGAGAATCTGGGTAAAGCTGTTTTTTTTTAATCTGCAGACTTTCTATGGGATCAATTTGCCCGGCATTGACCTAGACACAGATGTCCCAGAAGGCCTTTACTTTCTCCTGCAACTATAAGGGCTTTGCTCTGGTAAGGATATCTCATTTGTACAACTTTCCTTCCTACCTAAGCAACCTTTCCTTTTTAATTTATTCAGCTCCGTACTCTAAACAAGGATGATTTGCTTTATTCAGCATTAATGAGCTTCTGTGGAGCTTTTTTCAGGCTTGCAATTAAAGTATGTAGAGACATTATAGACAACGTGCTATTTCAATTTGCCACTTATAGAGATTTTGTGACAGTGCAGACAACAAACAAACAAGATGCATCATCAATGTGTTTATAAAAATAATACCTTTTATTTGCAGGTGCATTTCAAGGCAGTCATGGATAAGAGCAAATCAATAAAATGCAAAGCAATACAAAACGCAAACATATAAATCAAACAATAAAATTGATAAAAGCTATTCTAATCAAATAAGATATGAATGGTATTGTCTGAGCTGTCCACACAGATCTCATCACAATTGTTTTGGTCCTTGAATCCTGTTTCTGAGTTCTTGTATCCTGTTCCTGTCTAAGTTTGTAGTATTGTTAATAAAGCCACACTGCTTCTGGATCCAGCCTCATCATCGCTATTTCTACCGCACCACGTTACAGAACAACTCACAACGAAATGGATCCAGCAGTTGTCAGCAACCGGGCCCTGGGAGAATACCTGTCTATGTTATTTCAAGTGGGCCAGTCCGTCCAAAGATATGCGAAGGACTTTCTGTCCATTTGCCATCTGGGAGCGCTAGATGATATCCAGCTGGGCCTGTTTCTGAACGGGCTGGGTTATAGGATCGCTCGATGGATGCCGAGGGACCTTACAAACTGGACTTGCTCCTTGGAAGATCTCTCCACTATTACAGGCTTGTTCTACTTGACACCTGCCGAGTTCACAACGTTACCAGTCAGCCTCGACGAACCCGAGCTTCACGTCAGCCGGTGCTTCACGGCAGCCACAACCAGAGCCAAACGTCACGTCACGTCTGTGCAGCCAGATGTCTTGAGGTGAGTTTTGTGTCTTGCCTTGTCATTTCATGATCAGTGGTTCCCTATCCTGTCTGTTAGTTCTTCCAGGTGTTTCTCGTTATTCCCGATGCCCCCTTGTTATATTGATAAATCATTTGTCCATGATTATTTAAGCCCTGTGTTTCTGCCCTGTCTTTGTGAGTTGTT